TCGATACATGTATTATAAAGTCGACTAAACGATACATGTATTACATGTTTAACATGTATGATATTTGGCGCAGTTGAAGATCATTTAAGACACAGCATAAACTGCGGCTAACACCGTATTGAATATATTTCGTTTAAATTTAACCGTATTGAATTTTTTTCGTAACAAAATGCGATATGCAAATACCGGATATCCTGCATTAACCCCTGAATGACTTAGTCGGCTAAGTTGATGACTTGGCCGAAAACTTAGTCAGTTGACCGTTATACAGTCGGCTTAAAACACTAAGGACAGAACGACATTGCATCTTAGAAGTAAAAGATCCTTCGCTATGCTTCGGACAATTAAAAACAAAGAAACTCTTCGGGAGGATCTAATTTGTACAATGCAAAAAAACATCTTTTAGAATTAAGGTTATGTTTTGGCGATCCTTCATTTTTCGGGTTGCACAACATAATTATTATTATTACACCATTTTTTTTTTTTTTTTTTTTCTTTTTCTGTTAATTCGTTCCATTTCTTAACTCTTAAATCAAAAGGATTTAATTCTTACTACTGAAATGAGCGACGAGGCTTATTCTATTGATGTGCTACGTGATAAGAAGTCACAAAAATCATCATCACATAACATTAGTATGATGAAAATCTCACCAAACGGAAATTATCTTATTACTTACAGTAAAAAGGACGAAACAATCGTCGGGTGGAATGTAGAAGATAAAAATATAGTTGATGGAGAGGATATAAAGGAGGACCAATTTATAACAGGATGTGAAAAGGTTTTCCACATGTGTGTCTCTGATGAGAAGATACTAGCGTATATTAATGATAAATATGAAATTAGTAAGTATAATGACTATTTTGTTAATTAATAATTGATAAAGAACATTTCATGACGAACTTCCTTATTAGAAATCATTGATATGAATGATGAACAACTTCAAGAAGTCAAATTGTATTTTGAATTTGATGCAATGGAGGTACTATTTTGTGACTTTAACGAAGATGGAAATCTGATTATATTTTGTACTATTAGAACAAACATTAAATGTGATTATATAAGTATTGTTTGTATTTACTCAATACAAGCTAAAAAGAAGCTATCTCAACCTAAAAAAAGTGAATGTCAAAAGATTTATAAGATACCTAGAGAAGCGGAGGTCATAAGCATATCAAAGCATGATAAAATTTGGCTGCGTTTAGATCACAATATATATGAATGGAACCTTCGTACTGGTCACACTACAATTATATTAAAAAATATATATGAGGTAATTAATAAATTTTAAATTATCATCTGTTAAAGATTTATTACTAACTTTATTTCTTCAATTGAGCAGATTAAAACAAAGGATATTAGAATCTCTAATAATAAAGAGCTTACTTGTCTGAAAATGAACGATGAAAAAATTATCATTTATTCAAATAAACTTGGATTTTCTACTACATCACTGGATTTAAATGATGGTATAAATTATAAATTTTAATCTTAATGTAATGAATTAATAATTTATACAATCCATTAAAGAATTTTGTATTTTTATCTATTTTTAGATGAACTACTATGTAACTTTATGAATCATCATCATTGCTTGTTACTTTCTTTATTTGATTATCCTTTGATTTGGAATTCTAAAACTAAATGTCATGAAGAATGCTTCAAGAAAAATAATCAATTAAACAAACTTGATTTCGAGTTATCGAGCCTACCTTATGATTCTGAGTCTAAAAATTATAGATTTGTAATTATAAACGGACATATTCAGAGGATTGAATATAAGTCTTCTGAATTATTTTATCAGCAAGATGATTTTTCAGAAGCATATAAATTAGATAAAGGTTCTGTTATATGGAAAATTAAAATTGAAGGATTAGAGAAACAGAAATTTAAAATTGAGGAAACCCTTAATAAAGAGATGGATATTTATATTATTGAATATACAAAAAAATTTATTCAAGCGATATCTGATATTAAAAAAACTGAGAATAATCTTAAAAGTCGGATAGATAAATTCGAAGAATTTATTAAAATGAAAAGTTTAACTAATTTAGGTATTAAAATTAGCAAATCATTAGCGAAGGATTTTATTGAACGACTAACTATAATTGAAGAAGAGAAAGATTATAGTAATTGGAACAACAAAATCGGAAAATTAATGAAAGATTTTACTAAACGAATAAATAAGATAATGGAATTAACAGATCCTAACCAATTTAAAATTAAAATAACAAAAACTCATGTACATGTCAATAAAGGTTTGATTCATTTATTTGGTGCAGATAAATATTTAAGGGATGAAGATTACAATGGACTTATCAATATACTTGCTTACAAATTATTAAAGAATAAAGAAATTGCTTTAATAACAAAAATTGGCTTTTTCATTTTCCATTTAAATAATGATGAGGGTTCAATTTTTTTGAATTATTTTTATCATATGTACCAACCGGAGAAAGTTATCGAAAATATCAGTAAATTACCTGGATACCCAAAAGTTGATAAAATGTATAGGAAAGATATCAGTGATAATGATGAATTAATTTATGGATGGATTTCATATGTTAAAGAGAATAATGAAGAATTTTTAAAATATGGTTCTGCACTATTAATGTTTGCGATTAAAGTACACGATTCAGATTTAATAGATGGTATTTATCAAAGGTGTTTATATCTTTTTAATCGAGATTTAGAAAGCAATAAAGGATTTTTAAGCATTATTAATACATCAATGCCATTATTGGAAAAGTATTATCCAGAATATGTTGCAAGATATTCATCAGATACATTCATGATAATAGATTCTCTTGAATATAAAATCGAACATCTTGATACTTCACATCTTTATCCCTTTTCCAATATGGAAATAGTTGATTTAACACCATCTATTGCTTGGACAAAATATACTATTAAAGTGGATGACATGTATTATCATGATGAAAGGAGAATAATTAAGTCGCTAACGAGGTTTTATTTTGCAATTCAAATTGCAACATTTTTTTTGACATTACCCATTTCTTTTCCATTATTTCATATTTTAAATTATTTTCATTTGATTAATGAAATTTACGTGGATAGACTTTCTAAGTGTTATTATAAATGTTATTATTACATATCCAAATCAATATTTCCCGAAAAACTGATGCCTACTGTCACTTTTGTTATTCCTTATATCAAATTTGTTAGTTATCCGGAAGTTTATAGTTGGTGGGAATTATTTAGGCCTAAACCTAGTCCATTTGTAGAAACAATAAATAGAGAAATATATAAAACTTGGAATGGTGAAGCATTAATTAATTTCAAGTGGAATACATATGGAAAATATTATTATTATGGAATTTGGATGAAATTTGTTGCTTTTCTTGGTTTCTTTATGGTTGCTTCAACATTTTCTGAAGATCTTGTATCTAAAGATATTAGAACTCGACTTTTAATCGCCTCAATTGTTCTTGGATTTACTCATTTCACTTTCGAGATTCGTCAGTTAATTTATGATCCTATTAAATGGTTTATTGATCCTTGGAACTATTTTGGTAAGAATTATTTATTTATTTCATCACAAATATTACAAACGCCATCGGGTATTAATATATTTTGGAATTTTTTTTTTAAGATTTGGTAGCGTTTTTAGTTCCTACTATTACATCTATTTATTGGTTATGTACCGATGACAAACCTTTTTTTTGGCTTTCAATTTCATGTCTCTTTCTAGATTTTAAATTTTTATTGTTTTTTAGAGCATTCGAATTATTTGGTGTTTATTTTGTGATTATCGTTAGTGTTGCGAGGAAAATAGCTTCCTTTTTGGTTATTTTATGTATTATACTTTTGAGTTTCGCTCATGCCTTTTTGATTCTGTTACAACCAAGAAAGGTTTATAGTTTAGATGAACCACCTGTAAATAATGATGATCCGAATAATCCTTGGGGATTAACTGATAGTTATAATCAAGTACTAGAAAATGGAACCATTGAACCTAATTCATCATTTGTTCAACGACCAGATTTGAATACAAACATGTTTATTGATTACGGTACTTCACTTTTATCAATGTATTTATATCTCACAGGTATAATTTTTTTTCTTTATTTTTGAACCTTTAAATCTTAATGATAATAATTGAATAAACATTTTTTTTCGATTTGATTAATAGGCGATTCGAATGCTTTATCTAACTGGGAATATAAGAATAATCCACAACTTACCATACTAATGGTATTTTTCTCTTTACTAATTGCTGTGTATCTTATGAACTTGTTGATCGGATTGCTTAGTAATGCTATTGAGGAAGATAATAATAGAGTTTCGTATTTTGTACAAAAGGCGAAGGTATTTATTCATAAGTGACACTGTATATTTTATTTTTATGTTTCTAATAATAAACATTTATCAATATAGATTTTGGCAGAAATCGAATTATTTTACTTATTTCCAAATCAGAGACGTAAAAAAACCTGGTTCCCTGACGTAATGTAAGTCTTTTATTGTAGCCTTTACCAAAACCATTTATTTTTATGTAAAAATATTAGTTAACTCATTGTGTTTAAATTAGATATTATCACGCTGATGTTGATGAGACTCGTAGAAAAATTAAAGAACTAATTAAAGCTGGTGAATGGAATTCCGATTAATTTTTTGAGATGAAGCAAAATTTATTAAACATGCTAAGGATTCAGGATAAGCAAGACATTCAAAAGTTAGATGCACTTAAGAAACAGTTAGATGATATCCAAGAAATACTTGGAACACAATTCAAAAGATAAATTCTCGCCATTTTTTTTTTACTTGGTTACTTTTGTTATGAACATGAGACAAATAAAACTTTAAAATGCGATTAGCATTTAAAAGTTTTTTTTTTGGGTACTATTATTTGTTTGTTTATACATATTTTTCTAAACTGCTAGGTTAATTTATAGTCCGAGTTGATTTAGTATTTCATATCTAGATTTTAAACCATGTGGCATATTTCTTCAATTATTTAGCGTTCGTTTTTAAAGAATAGATAATCGTTTCAAGACCGCAAAAAAGTTATAAAATAAATAGAGAACTATAGAATGATTGATGAATTAAGCTAAAAAGTCTTATTTTAACAAATTTATATCTATAAACTTGCGAAATAAAAGATTCTGGATATCATCCGGAATGGAAACATAAATTTATCACATAAACTGCTCTATAGATGTATTGTTGTATTCAGTTTTTTCGTTTATGTATTTGTAATGTAAGCAGAAGGATTTTATTGAGTAATTTTTGAGTAAAATGAACACAATTTATTTAATAATATCAAATTAATTAGCGTCTGCGCTGTACATTTTCGCAATGCTAATCAATAAAATTCTAATTTAAATAATAAGAAATTGTAAATTAAAAATAAACGAAGTTACAATAATAAAATTAAAAAGTTAAAACGGCGAAAGCGAAAATATCACGAAGGGCTTAAAGGAAAGTTTCAAGGTGTATGTATGCAAAATATAATAAGGGCGAGCGTGAAATGTTAAGGATTTCCGGCTTGTTTTTATATAAAAATTATAATGACAAAAATGATCTTCTAAGAACTGCAAATATCGAAAACGATTTACCCCGCGAAATTATGGAGTTTCCGGGCGAAATTATATTCAATTTAACAGTATTTATTAAATAAATCAAGGCAAACGCTTATTACGTGACGGGCAAGGTTGTTCATGGCCAGAGGACAGTGAACATAAACAATAAATATGTAATATAAATGATATTATATTCGTGACTATAATTCAGTACAAAGTATAGTCAAACTGGTTATAAAAATTATATAAATATAATCATATCATAAAATTTTCTAAACTGTTTTACCTATTCTCCTAGATCATTTTCTTAACTAAACTTTTCATATATTTTGTCACAAGAGATGAAAAGTGGTACTAGAGAAAAATTTAAAGAAAAATTATATAGTGATATATCATATAAAACGCTTTTTAAAAAAATACACTTACTTGATATTCAGAATTATGACCTTCAACAAATTTGTGTGCTAATGCATGACAGATCACTGTATACCAGTATGTCATTGCATCAAACTTTGGATCAGCTTTATACAAATCGATATAAATTTTGAAATTAAAGAATAGTGCACTACCCTCGTTGAATGTTATTAGATTGGAATTATCATAAAAGGCATGAATAAACTTTGGCGGGCATTCAAAAACTTCAATAAGGTCCTTTAATAAATTGGAAAATCGATTTAATGATTGATTAGAAGTTATCGCAGATTTATCTTTCATTTCTTTTGGAATATAAAATTCTATTCCGTCTAAGAATTTCTCAAATTGTAATGAAAGATCTGAATGGCCTGAAAAATATAAAAATAAAATCAAATTTATAAGAATCAATACATAATTATTCTAAATTATAAAACTTTCATAATACCTTCAATGTTTTTACAATAAACTATTTGGTTACTACTCAAATAACTTCCCAAATTGTACCTAGTAATTTGAATTACATTCATAAAGGTTTTTCCAGTTTTAACAGTAACCGGTGGGTTTTCGGGGTCAACTGGGATCTTAATTTTTGGGTAATTTCCTTCCATCAGTTGATTTTCAACATTGATTAATTTATCATCTTCTGCTTGTTCTAGACATTGGCGAATATAATCATCTTCACAGTCCGCAAACATTTTTTTTAGTGAGTTAAATAATAAATCTTCTGATTTAGGATTTTCTTGTTTTGAGTCATTTTCTTGTTTCAAATAATTTTCTTGCTTAGAGATATCTTCTTCTTCAAAAATAACTTCTTGTTTAGGACCTTTATTTTCAAGATATTTTAAATCTTTAGCATTTAGTATCATATACAAATAATTAATATCTCTTAATTTATGTGATTTATAAATGAACTTGACTAGACATTTTGAAATATCATGATAATCTTGCTTCGATGTCATATAAAGCGTAAATATTTCCATTTCTTTATTTTCATGAAAACATGCAGCTACAGACTTTGATTTTTTAAGATTTTTGGCTTTCAATAAAAGTTTTATTTCAATTCTATCTGTCTCTACTACTTTAATATTTCTAAGCCATTCTTCATCTTTTTTAATAACATTTTTAGGATAATCATAGTAGAACAAATGAGCTCTTTCATTGAGTTTTTCTTGTAAGTCTTTAGATTCATTAGTTTCTCGTGTCATGTCTGATATTTCAACTTCCTCTTCAATTGATTCACTCAATGCTTTACATCCCAAATACTAATTAAAAAATAATTATTATTCACTTTAATTTAAAAAATACACATTAATAATAATGATATGACAACATACTTTATAAAAAAATTTAGGGAAATCTTCTGGAACTGTTAATAAAATATCACGATAAGTTTCCATATATGTTTCGTCGTCATTTATATAAATATTCTCAACAGAATTTAATTCATATTGTTTTACTTTATTTCTTTCGAATACACCTAATAAAACTGGCTTCTCTTTCATTTCTTTAAATAGATTTTTGTCTTTTTTTATGGTATTAAAATCATCGGAAAGTTTCTTTAAAATAATTTTATATTTTTCTTTATTATTTTCGACCGACTTCCAAATTTCACGTGACGAATTTACCAACAAATTAGCAATTGTTACCGCTGATGGAGTTCTTTTGACACCACATTTTTGTAAAAATTTATTGGCTTTCTCCCCAAAATCTATGAATGAAAGGAATTGATCAAACCTGAACAAAAAAGAAAATATTTATTAATTTAGAATGTATGAGACAACTTTTTTGATAATATTATAAATAAAATCATACATTCCCTCCATATCTTCTATTTTTTCTTGACTCTTAAAGAAGCATTCAAGTGGAGTTTTATGAATAATAATATGATTTTTATTACGTATGGGAATGAACTCAAAGTCATTTAGGAAGTCCCAATGGAGTTTAACAAATCCGTCTTTCCTAGATTCTAAATACTCAAAAATTTCCTTCGCTTTATCTTCAGTCTGTGGTAAATTCTCAGTTAACCTTTTAACAAGTTTGTCATGATCAGGATGTTGCTGTAAACCAAGTTTTTCACCATGGAGCTGATAACTTTGGTTTATAACATTAAATCCCATTACTGCGCATTCAAGATTGATAAAACATTCTGAAGGTTTGGCATATCTATCTTGTTCTAAACAAGGCAAGAACGCAATAGAAATTTCACCTGCTTTGTATTCAACAAAATACTTATTCTCATAATTGTTAATAAAGTATTCGAGAGCCTTAATACGAATTTCCCTTTTAGATGGTGGTGTAGAAAGTTCAAGAATCTTTGAAAGGGGTGGGTATTCTATTAAGCCCAACTTGATTAAGAATTTAGCTGAAAATGTAAATATGTAAGTAAAAAGAATTATTATATTTATATAATTTAAGTTATACATACCCTCTTTAGTATCATTATTCCATGTCTCTGACCATTTAATAATTGGTAATCCAAAATTACGATGCGATTCTAAAGGTACATATAACTTACTGGCTGCAAACCGTTGGGCTTTATTGATATTTGGAAGATTGGTTGATATAACTGCAGGCCAAATATCAACGGGTTTTAATTCTTCCAAATATGTTATATCGATATCATTCAATTTTGAACCAAAATATTTTGCAATTTGAATATGATCATAATTATCCTCATTTGTAATATAATCAACAATATGATTTTTTTTAATAACCTATTGATTAAATTTAATTTAACAAATAAATCATAAGAATTAACAATATCAAGATATGAAAACAATGATATGAAAACAATTCCTTACTTTATTAGCGCCAAAGAGATTCATCAATTCTTGAAAATTAAAAAGGTTTTGAAATTTAATAATTGGTAAATTAGGAAAAAAATCAACTTCTTTCAAATAAGCTTCCTCAGGTTTTTTCATGCCGTTTGTAGTTGGAATACATCTCTTATGAGCAAATAAATCTTTAATTATTTCCTTGTCATCTTGAGAGATAAAATTTAATCCACTTGTTAAAATAGTAAGAACTTTTTCGGCAAAAGTATATTCAATTTCCAAATCAGGATGATTGACAATAAACCTTGCCCAATGAACTAAAGGTAACTTAACCCATTTAAAACATTCAATCATATCAGAATCATTAAGATCTTTAGAAATAATATATGGTAAAACATCATCAGGAACTTCCGTATCCGGTTGCATCAAACTCGAATCTAAGAAATAATGTATCTTATTCAAAGATTGAATTTTTTCTTCAATGTTAAAAGTAGCCAATTTCTTAAATAATGTAAATTCCTCCGGAGTAATGCTATTTTCCTCTGACTTATAAGAAATAAACCATTTTAAAAGTGCAATCATTTCTATTTCGGATAGCGATCTATTTTTTAATTCAATTAAAACATCTCGAAAAGATAGCTCTTTTATAATTTTTCTTATATCCTTTGCTTTTTCAAAAAAAGACTTACAATGCTCAAATACAACTTTAGAAACGATTGGAATGGTTTTTATGAATCCTTCCATTTTTGAATTAGGCATACGCATGTCAGTTATCGGAAGTACACCACGTGTTGAAAGAATCAGCAAACTCTGCTTTGAACAACTGAAAAATTGTTCCTCGATAATATTACTAACAGAATTATCTGGTGTGCTTTTAGTAAACGTGAAGAATCTTAAGACATGTGCAGCACTGTTTTCAAGCTGTTTATGATTTTCCGCGCGTTCAACGTCTTCTTCGTCAATCGTCTCATAATGCTTTTTAATTTTACTCATTTCATTCTCATATAAAATTCTACATATTACTCCTGCCAAGTATAATATTCCCTCATTATAATCTTTCAATGTTTTATTTACCAAATCTATAGATTCACGTTCTACACTAGGAATAAACTGAGCTGACAAATTTGAACAACATCCTGTTGTTTGTTGGGTTGAAAAACCAATATAAATTCTTCCCTGTTCAGGATATGGAAGTAAATATTTAAGTGAAGAAGAAACCGTTTTATTATAATCTCCGTCAAACTCTGTGAACATCATGTGTATAATGGTATTATTTGGAAGTTTCTTCTTAATAAGTCGTTCCATTTTTTTAGAAAATTCATCTGCGATAGTAATTTCCAAATCTCCATTGGCAATTTTAAGAAGCATTAAAGTTTCTTGATAGTCAATATTTAATGTTTGTTGCACCGAATTCTCCTTTGAAACAAGTAAACTCTTGACGTCCATAGGAATATTATTATAATCTAACTTGGTAAGCTGAAAAAACTTATTTGGGGAATCAATATTAATTTCTGGTGCAATTTCTATCCGGCTTGAAACTGTCGATTTCTTTGACAATTCAATCACCAATGTATCATTAAAGTATACAGATACTTCTTTAAGGTAATTCATAAATACCTATTGAAATATAATATTATTATGAAGAATGAAGAATGCTAAGATTATTATTTCAAATTGAAGAAAACTCACTAATGAACCAATCAAGAAACGTGTAAATTCCTCAATGTCTGGGAACTAATTTAAAATAATAGGTTTAAATACGTCAAAGAATATGTTAAATTAAATTAATATTAATTTAAAAAATTTACTTTTTCGGGTTCTCTCAGTTCCATTACGAATGTTGTCCAAACTTTATCTTTGCCATAAATTTTACTAGACTTTGTACGTAATTGATCTTCATCATCCCAAAAGAAATGCATCTCTTGTCCACCAGATATTACGCTAAAAAATAATCAAATGCTATTAAATTCGATAATATATTTTTTTTTATTTAAAACAAAAAATAAAAAATAAAAAATAAATTCCTTACGAAGGATTATCACAAATTGAGAATATTGAATAAAATCCAACGCCAAAAGCCCCTATCTAAAGTGAAATAATTAAATTAATTAAAGATAAAAAAAAAAAAAAAAAAAAAATGCTAACATACTTTTTGTTCACCGGGATTTCCAACAGCAATATTCCTGATTCTTTTCCAATCTTGGGATTCAAAAGGGTTTCCATTATTTTTGAAAAGTATCGTTTCAATTTCTTCCTTTAGTATACATTTTTTATCGGTACGTGGATCAGCAGTTTTAAAAATAATCTCGACATTTTTTGACTCAGCATCATCTTTTAAAACGAAGTTAGATATATTAATTTAAAAAATTATTTATTGTAAAAACAATTGAAATATTCGGTTAAATATTTACCAGAATTTTGCATTAATTCCCGATATATTACGAATTCGGTAGGATATCTATAAGACGTTAATTAACAAATTTTTTTTTTTTTTTTTAACATTTGAAAACGATAACTTACCGAGCCAAAATTTTGTCGATCAAATGTCTTTGATTGACTTTGACTATTTCACTTTCTTTGTCTTGATTTGAACTTGATTGAAAAAACTTTTTTCTGAAAGACATTAGGAAGTATTATTTTATTTTTAAAAAATTATTAAAATTAACTCTATTTATTTATTAAAAAAAAAAAAAAAAAAAAGCTAAGCTTAGCCCAATTCGGCGAAGAATACATTAGATTTGTTCAATGCAACACAATGATGCGGTGTTTAATGTAACACCTAACTATTATGCATAATGTAATGTAACAAGATACAATTGTAACACTAGAAGAATAATAAATATGTATTAGTAATTTGTTTTTTTTTTTTTTTTTTTTTTTTAAAAAAAAAAAAAGGCAATATATCTTATCGAAATGGCTTTTAAATTAAAAAAATTCAATCTGACACAAGTAGTATCAGTTCATTTAGTATCGGGAAAAATTGTCTCGGTCAAATTGAAACTTGATGATAGTTTATCCGAAATTCGTAAACAACTCGCAAATAAAAATGAAATAAAAATGGATGATGGAGTATTTTTTGGAAGCAAAGATGGTCTTATTTCATCCGAAGAAGAATCTACGTTCAATTTAAGAGATATAGTTATCAAAGAAGGTTCGGAGAAAACTTATCATCTATATTTGAGAAATTCGAATAAATTACATCCCATCAAGATATCGGTTAATTTAATTTTGGAAAATAATGTTTCGATCAAAGTTGATAGTTTGTTTGAAATTCGCAAAGAACTCTTAAATCAAAATGAAATTAAAATGGATGAAAAACTATTCTATTTAGGTGAAGATGGTATTAGAGATGAATCCACGTTCAATATAAGGGATATTACAGGTCCGGAGAAAACTTATAATCTATACATATGGAAATTGAAATTAGGTTATGGATATAAGGGACGTGAAACAACTTCTTCGATAGCGAAAAAGAGAGCATTTACGATGAAGTTTTATCCAGATAACTACAAAGATGTTATATTTTGTACATTAGTAGAAAATACCTCATCAAATGATTTCAGTTTAGAATTTGAAAAATATTTAGAACCTACTAAAGAATTTATTAACGAAGTGAAGGACGTAGAAATTTCTAAACAAGTTGGAAAAATTATTGAAAATTTTGGTCTATTTATCCCGACAAAGATTATTATAAGTGGAAAGATTTCAAAAGAAGGTCTATTATATCAAAATTATATTAATACTTTTGAACTTTTAACCAGTATCCCAAAATTTACAAATTTACGTGAGAAATTATTTACTTCTATTGGGAAAAGAAAAATTTACTCAGGTATTGAAACTTGTGAGTTTACATTAAGTAAAAGTAGAAGTCCACGTATTAACGAATTTAAAAAAATACCAACAAATATTTTGAAATATATGGAAAACGAAAAGGCTGACTTTAGTATTTTTGCAACGATTCTTGATGAAAAGAACAGAAAAAACGATTTCTTTAACTGTCAAATCGTTTGTACTCAGGGTGGAATGCCGAATTATATTGTCTATTGTTATCGAGTAGATCTTAAACCATATGAATGCAAATTAAAAATTAAATATATGATTATTGGAAATTATACAGATTTTAATTCTATTAAATATGATGAATTAAGTTCTGATATTCGATTCGATGTTAAAAAGATAGATTTTAGTACTAAATTTTGTAAGAATTCGTTGCATATTAAGTCAAATTCTTCAGATCACTTTTTTGGAATTCCTGTTTTAAAAGATTTAAAACATTTAAATCAACAACATGTAATTATTGGGCATCATTTTTATACAGATCTAGATAATATTGTTGGGGTATTTATATTTCCTTTTAATTTAGATAAAAGTGAGTATGTTGAATTATTTGGTTTTAGTTTTCATACGCTTATAATTTCTAATGATCAAATTGATGAATTTGATTATAAAAACAGAAGTCGTTATAACAAAATTAACAAAATTGAACACCCAAATTATTATAGTTTAAATTTAAAAAATAATAATTTTTGTCCAATCTTTTTAAAATACACCAATAGAGATATTAAGTTAAAACAGGTTGTTTGTAAATGTAAAAAAGAATGCATTGTTTATAAGAATAGTAAAAAAAAACTTAAAAATAATTTTATTATAAAGCAGATTAGTTAAAAAAAAATAAAATTAATTTAATAAAGATTTTTCTGTTTCAAAATAATATTATGTGGCCCATTTTCAAGCAAAACTATATACCTCAAGTCTATGCCTTATAAAATAATATAAGAGGTTTTTTGAAAAGAACATTCTCTTCGTTAAAAAAATTAAATCATATAGAGGCCGGATCGGCATTTACTAATGGCGGAAAAACAACAAAATGCTATATAATTTTAGATTGACATTAATTAATATTTTTATTTTATTCGTTATTTTCGTTTTATTAATTATTTTATTATATTCGTATATTTATTTTAAATGGAAAAAGTTAGTATTTAGAAATTTTGTATATAAACCCGAAATCTTGAAGTTTAATAAAGTTCTATCCCTTACCTTTTGTTTCTCATATAGACGACAACTACACAAAGAATCGTATTAAAAGTTGAATAAATCTTCCTTAGGACGAGATTTGGTTAATCTGGTTTGGGTTCAAAATCGGGTTAACCTCGGAAAATGTTTGTAATAATTAATTTAGATTCATATGTAAAGGTCAGTCTAAAGCGGAGTTGTTTTGGCCGGCATTACGGCATTAAGAAATCAAACTTAGTTACGAATAAGGGGCCTGACAAATAGGATTATGCCACCGAAAAAAAATTCAAAGTACTTAATAAAAAACTAAAAAGTGTAACAAATAAGTAAATTGAACACGTAATTATCTCCGCATATTCTGTAAATAGAAATGTCAAATTTAGAATTTAGTCCAAGCAGATCAAGCAATTAATTGACGTCGCACAAATTTAAAAACGCTCTTTTTTTAGATTCATGAGTAAGTTACTAAATAACTTTACAGCTTAAACATTTAATTATTGAAATTGAGAAAGCAATTTCATTCCATCAAAAGTCAAAAAGTCACTAACATTATTAGGTTTAATTATAGTCACAATTCTTAGAATAATTAACACTTCATCGATATGTAATTTTACTGTATTTTTATTTTGATGCAAGCTCTTATTTAGTGTAACCATTACTTTGATTTTCATAATTGTTTCAACATAATGTAAATATTGTAAATATTGTTACAAACCAAACAAAAAATATCATTGGCGTTCTTTTTTAGTACAACGGACCACAAGGTTAAACAAAACCAGACATGGATCATCCTGACTAATTATTAACTTTTAACTTTTCCACTCCGATGTATTTTAAAATGACGAGTTCAAATGAAAAAGAAAGAATTAAATATCTCGAAAATAGCGAAGTACAAACTATAATCGGAATTGGTAAAGGAGAGAAAAGCGTGATTTGTAAAGCGGATTGGAGAAAAAACTATAATAAAGTTGCGATAATAAGTTCAAATCTTCAAGAGGTAAAGAAATATTTCATAATTTGTTATTAGACTAGACAATATATAATTATTTTATTAATAACAATATTTTCAGATAAAACAACTTTATAACGTTAATTATCACCTTCTTGGAACGACAAAAGGTTTTATTGCTTTGAAATTTCTTTGCAAATTAATTAACCTTAAAAATATTAACTTCTATTATTTCAAAATAGATCCACTTGGAAATGACATTACGGTGTTGGAATATGCAAATGAAGGGAACTTGAGAGAATATTTAAGAAAACAATTTGTTACATTAAATTGGAGTAAAAGGATCGAAATGGCATTAGATATTACCCGAGGGTTGATGTATTTGCATTCTGAGAATATCATCCATAGAAATCTGGTAAGTAATAATTGACTAAAATATTGCGTTATTAATATCTTAAAAGTATTAACACTGCCTTTATGTTAACAATGTTATTAAAAGCACGCAAAAAATATATTGGTTAATGATGGTAAATTAAAGATTGCAAATACACACCTGTTTGGTGTGTCAGAGCTAAAAGTAGGATACACTGATCCAAAATATCTTTTAGATCCCGTAAATTACAAGCTTGATATGAAATCTGATATCTATAGTTTAAGTATTCTTTTATGGGAATTATCAAGTGGATGTCCTCCTTATTCAAAGCTTCACCTGTCTGACGATCAGTTAAGATATGAAATTCTTAACGGTTTAAGAGAGGATTTTGTTGAAAATACACCTATAAAATATCAACAACTTTACAGAAATTGTTGGGAAGAAGATCCCGATCAAAGGCCATTTGTTGAAAAAGTTTTCAAAACTTTAAATCAATTAAAGTTAGATTTAGGTAAGTTTGAATTCATTTGGGTTTTTTGGTTTTATATTCTTATAAAATAATTGCTTATTTCCATTGTAGATAAAGAAAATGAATTATCAACTGATCAAGAAATAATTCAAAAATTGAAGCTAAATCATGGATTATTCTTGGATGATGATACCATGAAACCTAGCAAAGAGGCGATTTATAACGTTAACGGTGAATTGGATATTAATGTATATGATGGACAACCTATAATATATACTAATATAAATGAACCTAATAATAATTTTAAACCTTTGTTTCAACAGTATGATACATGTATTAATTTCCCATTTGCTGAAATCACTTTTAAAGGAAATTTATTAGAAACTTTTTTAAATTGTAAAAATGAGGATGGAAAATTAAATGAGAGTTATGGTCATTTTTTTTCAGAAAATGTTTTTGTTGGTGGTCAATTATTTATTAAAAATTTTAACACGTTAACCCAAACACAAATTCATCATCTAAAAATGCATATAAGCTGGGCATATAATTTAGCTAAATACGAAGAAAATCAATTATACGATTTCATTAACTTGCAACTTGAATCAAAGATAGAAACTTCGGATGGAAATGAAATAACAACTACTGAAAAGTTGGTTAATTGGATGAAAAATATGTACCAAGAAAATATGATCGATATAATTTCTTATATTAGTCCTATTCCTGTTTCAAAATTACAATATAATGAAGCTTCTACGCAACTGACAAGTGATTTTAATGAAAAAGTTATCAAAGTTTCTAATTATAAAGAAAGATTGAATTTAGAAGTATGGATAAAAGATTCAATTTATGTTAACTTGCCCGGATGGATTAATAATTTCAATCTTCTTCAAGGATTGAGAATTAATAAAAATTATGAATTAGAGATTGCCAAAAAGGTCGCCATAGATTTAATCCAATATCCTTGTTTAGAATTAGAGAATAGTTTTGATTTAAAACTTAAGCCGACAAATCAATTTGAAATATTTTTGTTTTCTAATAAAATTTCTTCAATTAAAAAAGGAAATTTGCATATATTTAACAACAGCATATCTATGATGATTAATGATGAATTGAAAATTTATGAAGATAATTTAGATGATTTTCATTTTATTAATTATAAGCAATACGAGATAATTTTACATTGGAACGATATTATACTTTCAGAAGAGTTGAAACAGGATATAGAAAAAGGAATCAAAGATATGAAACCATATAAAGTTTTACAAGACGTATTTAATGAATATGGTCATTTGTTTCCACAAAAAATTATTTTAGGAAAATCTTTTAAATTTACTTCAACGAAATTTTCTCCTAAAGAATTTTCAAAAATGTCAACAATTGATTCAGTCAAATCGTATTTAAAGACTTTTGATCTATTAACTCAAAAAGGAGATAAAATTGATGATTTATCCGACTTCATTCAAGATGACAAAGATTTGGAAATTATTGAGTATGATGATGTCATTACTTTGTACGACATACTTCAAGTGAAATTACAAAAACATATTAATGTTATGTTTGAGGATGAATACAAAATTATAATGGTTGGAATAGATGATTTGAAAGATTTATCTGATAACAATATTGAACATTATAAGCGTATAAGTCTGAACCCATCATTAAATCATCAAAACTATGAAGTTTTCGGTTCGATAATATCAAATGAACAAACAATGACAAAATCAAAAGAATTTTCTGTAAAATTTAGATTAAAGGATTTTAAAGGATTTACCGCAATTATAAAAAACCTTGAAACTCCGATTTCTAAAATTACAAAAATTACAGAATTTCATATTTTGTGGATGATTATCGGAAAACCCTCAAAATTACCGGAATTGTCAGTATTCAGTCCTAAAAATCGAGAATTTCAAATCATTTTTATTGATGAATCGATTTTATTGCAACCAGATAAATTTTATTATGAAGTTAATACTCCTTTTCAATTATCTGAAGGATATATGATTTCAATTAACGCATATCATCCACCGATAAACGATGAACCTGCAAATATAGTTGAATTCATAAAATGGTCATGTAATTCCATAATCTTTCGTTCTGATTCAATTTTAAAAGCTTTAAGTATGAATGAAAATGAAGTTGGAATTGAATATGAAGATAACCTCTTAATAGAGAATTTTTCGATAGAATTGCATATTTGTATCTTATTTTCAGAAACTAAAAAATTGAGGATCGATAATAAAGAAGATGAATATCCTTTCGATTTAATTGGAAATGTTTTTACAAATGAAAATTTTATTGAATATTCATTAAATACCGAAATTGGAATGGTATCAATGGATATTGTTAATGAAAATAATGATTTAGACGTTATTGTTGAAAAGATAATTTCTTATCTTTTAAATGAAAAGAATTTTACATTTGACGAAAACAAAAAAATTCAAGTAATACTTGACAATTATATCACCAATAATGGTATAAGCCTATCGGACATTATTGATTGGCTATTAAATAATCAAAATAATTCGAATAACATCTTTTTACTTGGATATTTCTATTGCTTTATTACAAAAGAAGTTTTTAATAGTGCATTTGACTTATTTCATGATGCTGCAAGTCAAAATCATGATTTAGCAAAATATTACACCGGAATTTGTTATTTAAATGGAATAGGAACAAAGATAAATAGTGTACAAGCTTTTAATTATTTTGAGCAATTATCAGAAGTCAATGAAAATTATACTGATGGATTGGTAATGTTAGGATATTGTTATATTAATGGAATAGGAACTCAAATTGATGAGGGAAAAGCATTTGAGTTTTATAAACGTGCTGCTAAAAAAGAAAATGTTTACGCACAAAATAAACTTGGATTATTATATAAAAGTGGTATTGGAACAAATAAAGATTTAAATGAAGCAATTGATTGGATTAAAAAATCAGCAGAAAATAAAAGTATGGAAGGAAAGAACATTCTTAATACTTTATATATATATAGTAAAAATATGGAAACTGATGTGGTAAATTCAATTTCTCAGATAAAATATAAGGCAGAAAACGGAGATAAAGAAGCATGCTATAATTTAGGCAAATATTATGAATATGGCATAGGCGTTGAAAAAGATATGGTTAAGGCATTTGATAATTACAAAAAAGCGGCTGATAAAGAACATTTAGAAGCAATATTTAAGTTGGAAATTGTTACTGTAAAGGATTAGGAATTAAGGTTACTAAAAAAGAAGCTTTTAAGTACTATATGAAAGCAGCAGAAAAGGAACATAAAATTGCACAGAATAATCTTGGAATATTATATGAAAATGGTGAAGGAGCCGAAAAAGATTTAGAGGTAGCTATTAATTGGTACAAAAAATCTGCAGAAAATGGATGCAAAGATGGATATTATAATCTAGGTTTATGTTACGAATTTAAAAAAGGTTATAGAAAGAAAGCATTTGATTCTTATAAAAAAGCAGCAGAATATGAACATTTAGATGCATTACTAAAACTTGGGCACTTTTATTTAAATGGAATAGGAATTGAAGTTAATAATAAGGAAGCATTTGGATTTTATAAAGAAGCTGCAATAAAAGAACATAAAGTTGCACAAAATATACTTGGAAAGTTATACGAAAATGGAGAAGGAACAAGAACAAATGTAATTAAAGCATACTATTGGTATAAAAAATCCTCTGATAATGGATATAATTTTGCGCATTACAATATAGGTAGATGTCATGAAAATGGAATAGGAATTGAATTAGATATGAGTGAAGCATTTAAATTTTACAAAAAAGCAGCTGAAAAAGAAAATTTAGATGCGATATTTAAAGTTGCAAAATGTTATTCAAATGGAATAGGAATTGTTACTGATAAGACAGAGGCATATAAATGGTATTTAAAATCTGCTGATTATCAAAATGCTGAAGGACAATATTATGTGGGTTATTATTTTCAACTAGGTATTGGAATTGAAAAAAATGAAAAGGAAGCATTTGAATGGTATTTAAAATCTGCTAAAAATGAAAATGCTAAAGCTCAATATAAATTAGGCAATTGTTATCAACATGGTATCGGAATTGAAAAAAATGAAAAGGAAGCATTTGAATGGTATTTAAAATCTGCTAATTATCAAAATGTTGAAGCTCAATATTATGTGGGTTATTATTTTCAACAAGGTATTGGAATTGAAAAAAATGAAAAGAAAGCATTTGAATGGTATTTAAAATCCGCTATAAAAGAAAATGCTAAAGCTCAATATAAATTAGGCAATTATTATCAACATGGTATCGGAACTGAAAAAAATGAAAAGGAAGCATTTGAATGGTATTTAAAATCCTCTATAAATGAAAATGCTAAAGCTCAATATAAATTGGGCAATTCTTACCAACATGGAATCGGAATTGAAAAAAATGAAAAGGAAGCATTTGAATGGTATTTAAAATCTGCTAAAAATGAAAATGCTAATGGTCAAAATAGTTTAGGTTATTTTTATCAGTATGGTATTGGAATTGAAAAAAATGAAAAGGAAGCATTTGAATGGTATTTAAAATCTGCTAAAAATGAAAATGCTAATGGTCAAAA